TTACTTAAATTCAGATATATTTGTTTTAATTTTGCTATATGAATATCAGTGTTAAATTGTATCCATAAGTTACTTCTAGGCTGTGGTGTACAATTTTGAGAGATGAGATTATTACTGTGTTTGAAAATTGAATGTAGGCATTTGCATTTATTTTATATCTAATTAGAAGAAAATCAGTTTGTATCAATACTACATCTCAAAATGTTAAAATAATGTTTTTATGGATGAAATAATACTGCCCTGATGACCCTATTTCAACTAAAATAAATGTAGACTCATACAGGCTTTATTAATGAGATGCTGAATTTTTTTTTAATAGAAAGTTTTCATTGTGTGCATGGACTTTCTTATTTTGTAACAGGCTGAAATGGCCCTACTGATGATGGATGATGAGGATGACACCAGAAAACATTTTAATTACAAAAAGATTGTAGAACAACAGAATTTGAGCAAGAAGAAGAAGAAACTTCTTATGAAAAAGAAAGAATTACTTGAAGATGACTTCCAGGTAATTGTGTACTTCTTGACTTAGTGACAGGAGCAGTTCCAGGAATCTCATGAGTTGTGACTTCTGAAGCAGTTCATGTTTTATTGGGCTTAAAAGCTTTCCTGTCATTGGAAAAGTTTACCTAAAATAAATTCTTCTTTTCTCCCTTCAGGTAAATGTTGCTGATACAAGATTCCAAGCCATGTTTACTTCTCCCCTGTTTAATTTGGATCCTTCAGATCCAAATTTCAAGAAGACAAAAGCAGTAGAAAAGATCCTGGAAGAGAAAGCTCGCCGAAGAGAAGAAAAGGAGCAAGATCTTAAGGAGGCAAACAAGGGCCTGGAGAACAAGATGGCAAAGAAAGGAGAGGTTGCCAAGAAAGCCATGGATCCTGCCCTATCAGTGCTAATAAAGTCTGTCAAAAATAAAACCAAAGAGTTTCAGGCACGGAAAAAGCAGAAATTCAACTAACTGAACTTTGTTTTTACTCAGACTTTACTTTAGTCCCAGCCCTTCTAACTGAAGACATCTGTTAAAGTTACTGCAGCCTGCTCTAATTCATGTCCACCTAAAAAGTCCTGAAAAGTCATTTAACTACGTTGGTGAATTTTGAAGTATTCAGAGTCATCATCACTCTTTTCTTCTGCCACAACAAATACTGTTTTGCACATATGTAAGGAAATGGTCGTTTTGGGGTGGTTTGTTTTGTGTCATGTCTTCTCTTAAAAAAAGTAGAAGTGCTGAAGATGACTACAAAATCATAATTATGGGTTTATTTATAAATAATAAAACCAGTTCTGCAGAGGTTTATTGCTGAGACTAAGTGGTTTTAAAGTTTTTAATTCCACGGAAGCCTGTAAAACATACCTGTCTTGATAAAGATGGTAATAATATAACTACAAATGAAAGAAATTTTGTATACAAGTTTTTTGTAGATTTTTAAAAGATTGCATTAATGCTTTATTAATTTCTTTTGTATACAAGTTTTTTGTAGATTTTTAAAAGATTGCATTAATGCTTTATTAATTTCTCCTTTAAATATTTGAAGGGAATAGAACTAATTGGTGGAAATATTGCCATTGAGAAGTGTTTCATTAAGATACTTCGGAAATAAACAGTTTAAATTGGTTCAAAAGAATTTTGGGTACTAGCTGTGTTTTTTTCTTTCACACCTAAATGAAATTACACAAAAATAAACTTTTTGCTATTTTTATTACATTTCCATGAATATGATACTTATACAAAGTCTTCCAGCATTGCAAGTGTTAAAAAAAATAAAAGCAGGGGTGGGGGGAAAGGGAAAAATCAAAGGCAGATCTAGATGACACAGTTTTAGAAACCATGTTGTTTGGCCATGTTAGTGCTGGTGATGAAGGTATCAAAGGTGCAGTGAGAATACAGTAAGTAGAAAATGATAACTCTTCCCTGGAGTGTGGCCACTGATTTGTCTTAAGGTTTGCTGTGGGTTGGGGTGTTAGGATGTTTTAAAAGGTTTGCTGTATCAGCTCTAATGGAAATATAACATGGCATTACCAGAAAGACTGAAAACTTTAAGAAACAAAGAGCTGAAAGGTAATTTTAAAGACATAATTTCTGAGGTGTTCTACTAACCTAAACAAAGACTTCTATGAAAACAGGTTAAAATTATAGCTAATCAAAGGCAGTGTTTATATCAAGTACATATATCTCAGTAGTCTTAAGGAACACAATATACAAATACAGGTGGAGATGGATTTTAGAAGAGTGCTTTGCAGTGATGTGCCTGTGGAATACTTGGCATACTTTGAGAGTTTAAAATGTAATTACTCTTCATAAACATCTTCAGAGTTACTTCATTTTAATACCAGGTTCATAGGGAGTCTTCCCTAACTTTGGTAATTTGTATAGAAGACAAATTTGTTGGGAAATGAAAGGCAAGAACAAAATGCACTGTCTCTTGAATCCTCTGATCCTGCTGAGTTCTACCAAGCATTTCTGTGTTACCGGTGCTTTTATATTCAGCTTGGTGCTTTTGTAACTGGAAATCAACATATGGAATCGGGCCTCTGCTCCTGCAGATTGCCCAGATATACTGAGTGACTCACTGGTTCAAAACCCTCCACCAGAACTTCTGTACTCCTGCAAGGCCTCTGTCCTTGCCACAGATTTTGCTGGAGAAGTCATTGGGAAAATCTGGTTATAAAAATAAAAAGTCACTCATAAAATTGTGAGGACTTCTTATTGAAATTAGATGGTATCAATTATGTTGTGTCTTCACATGGACATGTGCTGGCTACTTTCTCCTGTTACGAAGCCTGGCCTCTACTTGGATGTCACAGCAAGACAAAATACATGAAAAGATGAATGCAGACTTCAGAGTGATTTTAATTATTGGTAGAAATAATTATTTTGTATGATAACATGTATTAGGTATCCTGTAAATGCTTAATGTATGATCATTTTATGTAATTGGATGTTCTTGTAGCTGGTTTTGTTGTTAAGTTACTGAGTGCTGAGGGGGCATCTTAGTTGGGAAGAACTGGAGAACTTCAGGATCTGTCCTAGCATGCATCTTAGATGGGAATTTGTTTGTTTGTTTGTTTATAAAATGATTAGCTCTAAAAACTCTTTTTCCCCTTAAAAAGAAAATTTCAATTGTTAGTTAGTAATTCAAATTACATCATCTACTCTCCATGATTCCAGATCAGTGTAAGCAAAATCTGACATGCTTTCTGTGTACCAGAAGTGTATCTTGAAAATCTGGTAAGATTCTAGAATTCTCTGCAATCCGTATCCCTTGGTGTAAACAAAACAAATGATGTTTTTGACCATCTCATTCTTTTAAACATGAAAATAGTATCTAGAAGTTCCAACCTCTCACCTTTAAAATACAATTTTGTTTTTTCACTAGATTTAACCAGCAAAAGTGAAGACAATGAAGTAAAATAACACATTAAAAACTAGGACTGTTAAAAGTGAGACAAATAATTTTTCTAGCAACTTACAGAGGTCTGTTACAAAGTAATTTGTCTCCAAGTTGGCAGCCAGAAGAACTCATGTTGAATGTAAGCCAGGTCTTTAAAACTCTAATATTACAAGTGGAAATCACAAGAGGGTTTGATTTATTTAAAAACTGAGAATGATCAGACAAGAGATGAAGAGCCATGTATGTTTTCAATCATTCCTTCTGTCTAAAATTTAAATGTATTATTTCCAATTAATAGCAAGTTGGCTTTTTGTTCTTTTCATATTTTGATAGTATCCAAAAATAACAGTAAGTTGTGCCATCACATACTTTTTAAGCAAACAAAGCAAACAACCAAAATACTCAGGGTTTTCTAAAGAAGGTCTTAGAAACTTACGTTTTATATATGATCTATATTTAAAAGTACTAGAGTAATTAGTTCGCTTTGCATTTGTCTTAAATCATGTTAAATGCCTTAGGTTTTGTAGCTAAGAAAAACAATACTCATACTTCTGATGGCACAGTAATTTTCATTAAATCCTAAAATACTTTAAAGAACTGTAATTTTCTTGGTGTAAAAATGAACTTTTCCATGTAGAGGACTATGTTACTGTGTTCCTGTAAGAAGCAAGACAAAGTGGCAGAAAGGTCTGTTCTGAAGCTTTCTGTCCTTAACATACAGCATTATAAATGGGAATATTTTTGTCTGGGTTCTGGACCCAGTCTAGATGAATGTCACCTGAGGTCATTACTACTTTCTATTCCTCTCATCACTAATATATGAGTAATCCCTACTCAGGCGTGCTCCAGCTCTGTATTTCAGCCTTGCAATACTGTTGAGTTTTAAACAGCATTGTTTGCAGCCTCCAGTGACCCCACTGGCAAACTTTGCTCCTCTCCCATCCTCACAGACACCCAATCCCACGGCTGGTTGCCACAATTTCATGGGCAAGTGCTCCTGGACTGTGTCCCATGAGCTCCTTGGCACTGCACAAATCCCTTGGCTTTGCATGGAAATCCTGCCCAGTGCACTTAGACCTTCTTCCTTTTATTTCTGGGACAAGGAAGGAGGGAAAGGACAGCTGAGGCAGATGGGCTTTGTGGTGACTTCTGACAGTGGGATCAAGGACAGGCATTGTAAGTGTGAACAGAAAACTGCCCAGTGCAGTCAGCAGTGTGTGTGGGCTGGCAGGTGGTCCATGAAAAATGCAAGTTAACAGAAATGATTACCAAAAGGACTGGGAATAGCAAAGGTTTAGGGTGGCTGTGACTAAGAGTTGAAATCAGTTGTGTGGAATGCAAAACCCTCAAGCATAAGCTGCTTCACTTCCTCAATGCCTTGTCTGCTTTTACCCTGGGGTTAATGCCTGGGCACTCAGAGAGGGAGCTGGTACATGAGCTGGCCCAAAAATGGGTGCCTTGGGCTTTGGAGGACTTAGGGACAGGTTGGTTCTTTTCCACAGCAGAAGTAAGGACTGAGGAGCATCAGAAGGGAGAGAGCCTGAGGAGATGTGCAGTGATGAGCAATGCCTCTGGTGTTGGCCAAGAGTTTATGGGTGTCCTTGCAGTTGGAGGGGGGGAAGAAGGTCTGCAATTCTTGAATCAAGCAGAAGATGGACATTTTTGTTTACATATTTCTTGTTTGTTGAATTTTAGAGCTCCCTATGAAGAAACTAAGTACAAGTGCCTAGGAACCAAAACCACCACATCAGAGAGAAAATCAAGCACAGTACATGTGAAATAATCTCTGGCATTTGTTGCAGTTACTTAAAAAGATGCTTTTCTTTAATCTCTAATCTGACATGAAAATACCATGTTAGGGGAAACAGTCTTCATTATTCTATATTTTGATGTCCAAGTGCTCACCTTCGCAAAATAACTATTTTATCATCAAGGTATTAATTTCCATTTATTTTAATGAAATAAAAGCCATAACCTTTATGCTCCACAGAAGCTTACCTGTCTCATGGATGGATGATCACCTCAGTCCAGAAGAGGAGACTGGGAACTTCAGTGAACATCCCAAGGGTTAGCAGGGAGCAATTCTGTGCTCTGTATGCCCTCTGCAGAGAAATAGAAATGCTTCACAGTGTGGTGGCCATCCAGCTACTGCAACACTCATGTAGTAAAATAAAAACAGGTGTAGCAGACCACACTTAAAAGGAATATGAATCTATCACTTAAGTTATCTGCTTTCCTTAAGAGGCCCCAAATTCACCTTTGATAGCAAAGCAAGCTGCCTTGGTAAACAAAGATGATTTTGTCACAGAATAACTGTTTTGTTTTACTGTGAGTTAGTTACATTTTTTTAAAGACAGAAGGTACAAAATACAGAAAAAGGGTAATAATAATTAATGTAATTATGTATTAAGATGAGTTTAAAAATGAAAATTCCTAATAAAATAAACCTGCATTGATTTTTGTACTGATCTCAACTCCACCAAAATGTGAATTTGCTGATAGAGCTCATGTAGAGCTCGTGAGCTTGTCAGAGGGATGAGAACAGATATTTTTTTCCTCATTTTGTATCTTGCAGATCAGAACTTCCCCAGTAAGAGAATGATTCTGCTAATTATTCTTAAATTATAGTGAACTTAGGAATCTTGAAGTCTCTCTGTTGCAATGGGATCAGTATCACAGAATTTGAAGAGCAGGATGGTGTGAAGACAGTGCTACTGAAATCATATCATAGCATGAGTGCAATAAACCATCTCTAGTTTGGACTAAATCATTAGCCATGGAGAGCTGCAGAGAGCAACCACGCAGGCCAAAAATCCGTAGCAATAATGAGATGATCCAACCTGTGGAGAAAACCTCGTTCAGGAATTACTTAGTCTCCAATTTGACCTAAATATGTATTTTTAAATTGTCATATTTGAACCTTCACCATACTTTGTGGGCATGAAGAAAAATGTTCTCTGATTCTGAAAACCACTTTTCTGCGAGTCTTGGCTTCCTGATTTCTTGTAGCTGTCATTGGGAGATGATTGTCCTGC